TTTTCCCGCCCGCCTCCCTGCCCCCACCCCCGGCGCCGCCAGCCCATTCTTGGCCATGGAGTCCTCCATCAGCGACCTTGAACCCCGACGGAAAGCACCCCTGCCCTCTCTGGCGCCCCTCCCCCTCTCCAGAACTCTCCCTCGCTGTTGCCCCTGCCCGGAGCCGCGGAGATCAGCGTTAAACCCAAGCCCCCTGGTTGAAGTGTCAGGATCAGGGTCGGTACCAAATCCCCTGCACTCCTCTCTCCCCTGGATTCCTGAACTCCCTCTCCTCCCCCAGGGACAGATCCAAGGGCCCCAGCGTTCCCGGAGCCCTAGCGTGAAAGCCTAAGAACCCACTCCTACCCCCAAGGTGTCCAGAGCGCACGCTCCCGTTTGGCCCGGGAAAGGGGATGGGGGAGCTCGGGACCCGGCAAAGCACCGTGCCCACGCCCAGAGGCTTCGGGAACTGCGTGCTAAGGGGTGGGGGAGGGCGGGGCCCTGGAGAGACACGATCCATGGACCGCCAGGGCAACGTGGAGGAGCCTCCAGATGGGCCTAGTAAGTCCCAACCCGGCCCTAGAGGCCCGCCCAATCCCTGGCCTGGAGAAACCGGGTGTCCACTCCCGTCGCGAGGGCTCGCCGTGTTTCTCCAGCGGGGGTCAGGGTTGGGAGTGTGGGAGAAGGATCCGACACTTTCCTAACCCAAGCCCTCCTAACCCAAGCCCCCCGTCTGGGCCTCCGGTTATAGAGGTGCTGCCTGCACCCTCTCGCTGGCGCCCTTTGGCGAGAACACGCAGTGGACACACTGAGCCGAGCCTGGTGTCCCGCAGGCCGGGTGGGGGACTCTAGCAGCGGCCCCTCGACAGAAGTCAGCGCAAGGCTGGGACTCCGCACCGAAGCGCTGGGGGCATAACACTACTGAGCACTCAGCTAACACAGTGCACCAAGGTCAGGGGCCGTTGCAACCCAGAGTGTAGTCTGGCCTGGTCCTGCAACCCTTTCCCGCCCACGGACGCCGGCTCTTGGCCCGACTGGATCCGCGCTCAGACAGCCAACGTCTGCGTTGAA